GTACTCATTTTTCCACCTTTGCAGCTTCAGATTTTCAAATTTGATTTAAGAGAGAAGAGATGAAGGGCAGATTTGATCCCGCTGGGCGTGTCAATTTGTTTGCAACAAATTTTAAACATATGAAAAATAAATAAACCACAAAAATAAAATCTAAAGAAACATAATTTTATTCATCAAGATAGCGGATACAATTCTGTTCCTCCCTTGATTCTCCTCTCCTAAGATTTATCCATGATTTGAGGGCCGTTAGTGGCATATTTCTCGAATTAAGATGATTTAAATTTGACCTCTATATGAATATTCCATGTCTTTTGTGGAATATATCGAGGTTTTGATCTCTTTATGAAATTTTTGAGATGCATTTTAAGAGAATTTAGTACCCTTTATATAGGCATAAACTAGGGTTTAGGGTTGAGTAGCCTCCAAGAATCCTAATTTGAGTTGAACACAATTAGTAGAGTCTCAACTCGAATTGAACACATCTTGTAGAGTTCCACAAAATTTCAATGTCTACAATGTGAATAAAGGGGATATGGTGGCATATCAACCATACGCAATGGGAAGGATGAGCTACATATGGGGTGATGACGCACAAGAGTTTAAGCCAGAGAGATGGATTGATGAAAACGGTTCCTTCAAGCAAGAAAGCCCCTTCAAATTTACCGTTTTCCAGGTCTGTACGTATATATATTGACAAATTGACAAGACTAATGACTTTCATTATTGAAGATAATGAATTAAAAAACATATTTTGATGCACTACGCGCAGGCTGGGCCAAGGATATGTATAGGAAAAGAATTTGCTTATAGACAAATGAAGATCACTGCAGCGGTTTTACTACGATTTTTTATATTCAAGTTGGCTGACGGATCAATGCCGGTCACCTACAGGCTACAAGACAATGATACAGCTTCATATAGCTGGAGGATTACATGTTCGCGCAATGCAAAGAATCGATCAAAACTGAAAACAGCCAAAAAGAATTGAATCTCAATTACTGCATAAATTGAGATTCATAATAAATAATATGCATATCATTCTGCAGTGTGAAGTGATTTTCAGCAAAAATAGCAATGCTGTAATTTTCTTATACCACAGTAAGGCTTTTAAAGAGTGTACTCGTCCCACAAAATTAACATGTGATATCTAGAAAAATCGTAATAATTCAGTTAATTGGTTACATCAATATATATTTAGTGTGGGACCTATGATATCTAAAGGCACAACCAAGTACTTAAATCACTCCCGATCACCTTGGGATCTGTGCGAAGTATTCAACAAAAATCATAAATTACCTTTTAGACTTATTGGAACTGCCAAAACTCAATTCCAAATTCATTTTCCCATTTTGTTGACTTTCACCAAATTAAACTTCAAATTTCTAAATTTCTAGATTTATATTTTCTTCTCCAGTATGCATTTGATTGCCTCGGGAACCTGCCGTTGTCCCCCAAAGTCATTAATCACATTTTAAACTATGGAAAGTATATTTTTAAAAAAAGGTTCGATTACAATTTGAATTATAAAGTCATTATGCAATTTAAGTTCTTAAAAAAGGGAGTTTTTAACCTGTCTTATATGACTTCATATGATTACTTTGTGACTTAATTGTGTTTACATTAGAATTGTCACTTGTATGTGAGAAAGAAAAAAAAACTTAATTGTCCGTTTAAGAAAGAAAAACCTTTTTTGGCAACTCTTTAATTCTAATTTTTCACATGACATGTTTAAGGCTATAAGATTAAAATACATTTTAATATATTTCACATATCTTCAATATAAAACCACAAAATTCAAAAGTGTTCCTTATTTTTCTAAATTCGTTAAAATCAGAAAAACAAATTGAAATGGAGAAAGCATTATTTTTAATACAGCTGCAGTGTGGTAGTCCATTTATTCTCCTTTGCTTAGCTTCTAGTAGCTATTGATTCTACGAAAGGCACGAACATGTAATCCTCCATCTATATGAAGCTGAAGCATAGTTTTGTAGTTCACAGGCTTTGTGTCATCACTCAATTTGAATACAAAGAATTGCATTAAAACTGCAGCAGTAATCTTCATGTTCTTGTATGCAAATTCCTTTCCAATACATATCCTTGGCCCAGCCTGTGTGCGTATGCATCCAAACATTAATATTTCACGTCAGATGTAATTTAAACGCGTGGTGATAATAAGATTATGTCGTTGGATGAATGCGTGCAACAATAGTAAAGTAGAATGAGTGTGATTTTAATTATTAATACATGCATGTATGTATATTTGTATACCCTTTTTTGTTTTGCATATGTGCGCGAAAAATTGGAAGTTAATTTGAACGTTATGCAACATATTGGAACAGGATGTTTATAAATTTATATGTTTAGTGAACAGACTTGGAAGGCAGTAAATTTGAAGGGGCTTTCTTGCTTAAAGGAGCCATTCTCATCGAGCCATCGTTCTGGCTTGAATTCTTCAGCATCATCACCCCATAAGTATTTCATCCTACCCATCGCGTATGGTGGGTACGCTACCATATCTCCTTTCTTCACATTATATCCATCTGGAAATACATCATCTTGAAGGCATACTTTGGCATTCTGGATTCATGAAATGTAAACCCCGTGTTAGAAATAGCAGGGGAATTTGAGATAAAGAAAATAAGTTGGAAGTATTTTTATGTTTACCACGGGAATGGCTGGATATAGTCTTATAGTCTCCGAAAGAACAGCATGAAGATAATGCATCTTATCTACTGCTTCTTCTTTCAGATTGGCCCCAAATTCTGAAATTGTTCCACTGCCTCCTTTCGTATTCGTTGTTTCTTTGATTTCCTCAGCCAGTTTTTCCTGCACATGTGGATACCTGCAGAGCATTAAAATAAACCACGAGAGTGTCGTTCCTGTTGTGTCTTTACCACCACCCATGAAGTTTATCAGTATATCTCTCAAGTACTTTGGATTTGTCGAAGAGTAATGCCAGAACCTTGACATAATGTTCTCTGCTTTCTCCTGTAAAATGTCCACAATCAACAAATTAACTTAATTGTTTACAAAGAGGGCGAAAAGTTCAATTGATCACGACTTACTGTGGGATCGCGTTGTTGTGAAAGCTGTTCAGCTTTGCTACGGATAAGCTTATACATGTACACGTCTATGATTTCCATACTTTTCCTCAATTTTGCTTCAGAACCAAAATTTAGTGCCTTTTTTATTTTCCAGAACATATCAATGTATCGCAAAAGACTCATTTCACTCGCGTCATCAAGTGCTTTGATGAATCTGTTAGCCCCTTCTTCACATGAACCACATACACTGTCAAGTTCAATCCCGAAAGCAACTTGAAATACTGAATCCAAACTTGACTTCAAAAGCAAATCCTACAAAATAGACATATATGATGGTTAAGTACGTAGCTAATAGCATGACGTAACAGACATGATTTGTTTAATAAAGCTGAAGTAGCTCACTTGAATATCTACTGTTTCTTTTGAATTTGCGGATTCATCTAAGATGTTAGCAAGCTTTACTGCATTTTTGCTGAAGATAACACTGTTAACTTCCCTTATAACCCTTTTCGAGAACTCAGGGCTCGAAACTTTTCTCTGTTCTTTCCATTTCTCACCGTCTACAGTAAACATACCGTCTCCATAAAAGTCTTTTAGAATCTCATGATGGTAATCTCCCTGCACGAACATTTTTAAAGTCAATCCATATGCTCATACCTCTTTCTGTCCCAGTTTATATGGCACAGTTCAAATTTCGAGAGTCAAACAGTTTAACTATATTTCACTATTTATGTGGATACTACCTTTCCATAGTTGTCGAAATTGGTTTTTAGAATGTACTCAATGTTAGCTGGATCAGAAGTGTATATCTCTCTCCGAAATGGGCTCTCAAGTCGATAAGTCTTGTATTTTGCAGCAAGATCTGCCATGTGATCGTGGATACGATGAAAGTTTATGAGCTGCTTCGTCGTAGAATCAACAATTGGATGGTATTTCTTTTTCCCTTTTTTCTTTGCTCCTAGTTTGCTCATGAAGAAAACTATCAGTACAAGAAAAGACAGAGAAATAGAAGGAAATGTTGCAAATATAGAGATTGGATTCATTGTTAGAGTATCCATCTTATTTTTTGTGCCAATACTTAAAACATACATTCATTCTATTTATAGAGAGTATATGATGGATTGGATTCTCTTTAGCTTTGGTATTTTAAAAGACTTGTCTTTCTTGTTTTCTTGTTCTATGTGTATTTTTGTTGTCTTAACCAATATTTAATTGAAGGTAGGAAATGAGATCCTCACAAATTTGTCTATTTCATGATGATTTATGTGTAATAGAACAGCAATCTTGAGCTACTAAAGTTAAAAGGTAAAAAAATTCCTTCATCTGACATCATTTCCTTATTGATACATCCCCAAAAAAATTATGTGACATCTTTTCCTTATTGGTCTATCCCAGTAAGAATGTCATCTTACTATGATAAGAAACAATTTAGTTATAAAATTCTTCTTTTACTTTTAATGAAATAATTAACAACCATAGAAATATCTAAGAATTATTTTAGATTACAAATTTCAATAGTTTTCTTCTTTTACTTTAACATCGTGTCAAATCAAATAATGCCACATAAAATACGAAACCATAATAATGTCTTAGTGGTGGTGTATCAGCAAAAAAAAAAAAAGGCCTCAATACAATACAACTTAGCAGCTACTTGGTCATATCATCACCAAAAATCAAGAAGTACTAATAAAGAAATTAACTTTGTCAAAATGTTGGGCATTTAACACTAATCATGTTGAAGCAGAGACTTAGCCTTCCCAGGATGATGTTGGAAGGAATGAAATGATCATTATTTGAAGCATGTTTAGCAAGAAAGTTTGGTGTTATGTGTCCTATTAACTATTAAATTAAAGGTTTCTAAGTCTTCTTTCCAACACCAATAACCATTCTGTAAATGACAATAAAAAAAATCGTAACATTACCCATTTCTCAACAATAGTTGAATGATAGTATTAGAAATGGTAGGAAAATACTATCTTTTATAATTTCATAAAATGATATAGTACATGAACACTGAATGTGGTAAGATCATTTTATGGTGGACAAGCTACAACAACAGTATAGGAGCTGGAGAATGAATCGAAGCAGAATAATTTTATTCAGTTCCGTTTTTGCTTCTGCTCTACTGGAGGCGGAAATAGAGCACGAAAAATCCATGCAGCCAAAATTGCTCCTATGAAGGGGCTGATCCAATAAACATAAAAGTGTTCCCATGTGTTGTGTGTATTGCTTAGGTAAGCCCAGCCAAATGCCTGCAAATCAACAAATAGTTGCGTGTTATGGGGGCGATTTAACAAACTGAGCAGGAAACACCAAAAAGAAACAAATGGCTACAGGTTTAGGTGAATTTCATAAACGGCCATATAATTCATTATGACTTTTTTCTTTCACTAAAGTCACGTAACTAAGTTTTCTAATATAACACATTCATAGAAAATGAGGGTAAAATGAAAGACGTGGTTCTTGATTGAACTCATTTCCGGTCTTATGTTCCCCACATTGTAAACGAAGATACCTAAAAAACAAAGTACTATTTAATTAACACCGATGAAGAAGTTTGTAACTAGACTACAGGCCACAGAAAATACAAATAAGTAATGAGAACATGTTTACAACTTACGAAGGGAAACAATAGAAATGTGATCAATCTATAGATTAGACATATTTAGCTAATATTTGCCATCTAAATCCATTTTCAATAATTACCTTATTCCATGATAGTATGAGGCAAATACAAGCATAATCAAGGTTCAATTGTTTAATGTTCATACATGGATAGGCACATTTTATTTGCACCATTCTTCACATCTCTGTTTTCCTAATAGAGAAATATTAGAGAAAGGGCATCCATTTTGCTTTGGTCATCTCCTTTGGAAAAACAGAACAGCGATTTCTTATGGAAAGATTGAGATGCAGAGCAAAGTCTAAAGCAAGTTTCTCAAGACTACCTCAATTCATTCATGGTGTGATGTGGGGAAGCCACGGGGATGTAATATGGAGGCAAGACAACATTTCGGAAAATATTAAAGTTGAACAGTCAAAAAGAAATGCTTAACTAGGTGTTATAAATTCCTAAAGAAACTAGAAATCGAAGATTGTAGAGAGAGTAACAATTGTTCATTTTAGGGTGTATTTGGCATGAAGGAAAATGTTTTTTTCTAAAACCTAAGAGTGTTTTTAATTATTTTCTAGTATTTGGTAAGTAAGCAAACAACATTATTCTAAAAAAACAAAGAGTTAATGTGGAATGCCACTTATGAAACTTGTTTTCACTACTTCCATTAGGGAAGTCTCTCTGAGTGTAACCACTGCATTAGCAATACCACTTGTTCTCTGATATCAGTAACTTTAATGTGGACTTCTGAAATCACCAGTCACAAGTCTAACCAATTAGAAGCGAACATTAGGGGAAAGTATAGCATTGTTTTCGTGAACACTTGCAATTTATCACTAGGTTTGCGATCACATAAACTTCATGCATAGTTTCAAGATTGCTAGAGCCCGAAAGAACACAGAATAGCTTCAAAAGAATATAAATGCATGTAGGTAAACTTGGAAGGATGAATGAGGATAGAGTTGGTTTTCAAAAGATTCAGACAGATTTAAAGTTCCCTTCCAGTAATGATTCTCCTTTAATTCACGGGGTTTCCTTATTTTCATGTTCAATAACTTTTTACTTAAATAGCTAGAAGAGGAGCTGCTAAAGAAGGTGCTAAAAAGAAATAAAAGAAAAGGAAAGTGGAAAAGAAGAAATCATAGAGTAGAAAATACGATTATTATTACACCCTCAATACAATCCCGAGATAACTAGTCCTGGAATATGTTATCCTGCAATTCTATCCCAACCAAACATGGGATAAACTCATCCTAAAATTAATACCATGATTAGTAATCTCTTATCCCTCGTAACAAACGAGCCCTAAGGGAATTAAATTCTGACTATTCTTACAATGGGGAAGTCGATAAATCTTCTAAGAGGGCCTTTTCAGATGATTTATGAAACTGAAGTTAGATTGGATGTTCCTTGAGAATTTTTTTTGAGAACTGGCACTGTTAGAAGTTCCTTGGGAAATTGCGATTGCATTCCTATCCTACTCATCTAGTTTATTGCTTCTAGTAAAAGTTCAAAATCAACCCTATCTATAAATTATAATTGTTTTTTTTTGACATATGCTATATTTATGCATAGACAAAGGCTGAGATCCCAGATATGTAAGTGAAAATCTTTCATAAAATATACAAATACTTAGATAGTTGAAAAGAATTTGTTATCAAAAACTTTCATTTTCTATTTCCCTCTCTACGCTTTGAACAGTCACTGGAAAACTAATTCTGTTCATCACTAGTGTCAACAGCTCCAGTCTAGAAACCGAGCGGCAGAAACTAAACAGTCGACTCATGGAGACGGTCAGATCAAAATCTATGAAAGAAATTACCAAAAACATATGTTTAAATGTATTAAATCATAAAAACAGTTCCATAAAAGAACAACATGGAAAAGTCAAATAATATATTATGTTCCAAGATGCAAGAAAAGGTACGCTACTTACATTGGCTGGATTCATAGAAGGTCCAGTGTAGTTTGAACCTGCAAGTACCAATGGTAGAGTTACCATAGTGAGCAACAAATTCTTGAGAAGTGTACTTTCCGGACCCCTTAGTACAATGACAAAGATCATAAATGTGATTACGAAGGTCAAGACACCCTCTGCAATAGCTCCGGTTTGTACATCCACCTTCAAAGCAGGCCCGTCAAGCATGTGGTGATAGTGTTTAGGCATAAGCTCCATGAGTGCTAGTGAACCAGCAACTGCACCTGCTACCTGTAATGATCAAAAATGGATTGGGCTTATTCTATTCACCTCCTTTTGTGTTATTTAAATTTCATTGTCAAATCAAACAATTCTAGTTCTAGCACCAATTCGGTAGAACATGAATTTAAAAGTTTAGGGGTCGTTTTGATAGATGGATACGAAACAAGTTATTCATGTATTTATTTCCATATAACTTATATGACGTTTAGTAGGTAGACAGAAAAATAAGTTATTCAAATATAAAATTATTACACATTTGGTTGACAATGTAAAAACTCGCATAACTAATACATATATAAATTATGAGGAATTCTATGTATTATTTTATAGATAGAAGGTGAAATAACTAAATTCTGCATAACTAATATCTACATAAAATAACACACATTCACTCATGACAGGGGGTGACGAATGATTGAGTTGAAATTGAAGAAATTAAAAAAAGATTGAAATAGAAATTGGGTTGGGTCATGATCCGCTCAAATTTATTTTGGGCTCAAATAGGCTAAAAATTAGGTTCGGTCATGATCCGTCCAATTTGACCGGCTTAATCTTAATATATTTAATATCAAGTATCAACCACAACTGAATTTTAACTTTAAGAAAATAAAAAAAGAATTTACAAATAGATAGATAAATGCTAGAAGATATAAAATGGGAACCTACGTACGCTGCACCAATGCAAATAAAGAGTCTTAAATGAGTTTGAAATAAGAGATTAAATTGAGTTCAATTGAAAATTCTTTTAAGATAGGTTAAGGATAGAATTGGTTGACATGGACCCAATTCAAATTATTTTGAACCCAACCCATGAAAATTTGATGAATTACCTAAATTTGGGTTCGTTTTGACACACCTACACATAACTAATTCATATATTACTAATACCTACTTAACTCTAACCAGCTACTCATTGCACCTAGCAACACTCTACCAATAAAATTCCAATGAAAAGGAAAGTAAAAAAACCTGAGCAGGACAACGAACAGCGGCAGAGACAAAAGAATCTTCACCAAGACCAGCAGCATAAAATGCAGCATTTCCAGTTGGATTGAAACCAGCACCACCCAATACATCACCAAGAAAACCAAACACCAAGAAAATAAGAAAAACAATAAGGGTAGTTATGAAGAGGGATGCAATTTCATTGACAACACCAAAATAAGAAGCTATGAAATAAGTAGAAACCCCAATATTAGAGGAGCAGAAAACCCACAAAAACGTCAATAACCCATCAGCAATCGCTGATTTAATAACACCCATCTCTCTGTGTAAGCTAGTGCCGTTCGAAGAGAGGAAGGGGAGATCGGTAGACAAGAGTCAACTCCCAACTTCTACGTAGTACAAATACATACAAGACGACCAGATGGAAACGAAGGAAGATTCATGCTTGCTTCAATTTTGTTTCTATTCCTTTAAAAAAATATTACTCCATGTCTTTTTCTTCTTCTTTTTTTTTTAAAAATAATTTTTTAAGACTACACAATTAAATAATATTTTAGTATATTTATTATATCTTTAGGTTGAGATTAAAGAATTTATATGTCTGTTTAACTTTTTTAAAATTTTGTGCCAAATCAAAATCACATATGTAAATTAAAATAGACGAACAACTAAATAAAGAGAGCCTAACAACTTTATTAAACTTTTTCCAAAATGACTTAATAATTTTCTAAATTGTTTTTCGAGAACTAAACTCGATTTGAGAGATTTTGGAAGGGATTTCGAGATTTCATTTATAATTTCTCCGTTATTTCATTGTTTAATTAGTGATTTAATTTGTGTTGGGGATTGAAATTGAGAGTGGGTGGGGGGACCCCAAATTGAGATTTATATAATTATTTCGATTTAAAGGCAAATTAACGACTCATTTTCACCGTAAGAGTTCCCCAACTTATGAGTGAACTAATTTAAAAGAAATTTCCAAATTTGACATAGTGGTTTGGGGTTTGACCTTTTGATATGATTTTCTGGCCGAACGGGTGTCTACAAAGTTGTAAACTCACCTAGATTATGTATTTGATCAAATTGGAAATATTTAAAGGTGTTGCGAAAGATAAAAGCCATAAATTGACTTTTTGTTACGATCCAAAAATTGGTGTTATAGAACCTATCTTATCCCACCAAAACAAAGAAATAAAAAAGAAAACAAGGAACTTAGAACAACATATTGAAGAATCCATAATATAAATAAAACATTCCCCAAAACTTAATGTCACGTCTACAAGTCACTAAATAATAATACATATTCAACAAGTCTGAATGTCTTGAATTCTAGAATAAAATAAAGTCATAATGTATAAGAGTATGTCAAGTGTGTTGGAACAACTAACAACTACCTCACGTACTCCCAAGTGTAAGCCTAGACAGTGATGCGGGAGGATGATCAGGACGAATCAGGTCGATAGCCTACACAAGTGTAGAAAAGCTAAGGAGTGAGTACCAAACTAACAACATGTACTATGACCCTAAACAAAGTGGTGTGGAACACCCTCAACCCCGACACACCATCTGAACCTCCAAAATACTAGAACATGTACAAAAATCAGAATTCACTCCATCCAAGGAATGTTCTTGTGCTTAGTGTTGGTGCTAAGTTTTGACTTGATTTTCTTCTGCAAGAACAAGTGAATACTCCATTATCATTTAGTTCCCAAATTGCCTCATCCAGAACCTCTTCCTAATACTGAAAAGTAGTATATATTCAAAATCTTTGGTACCAAAAGAGGGTGAACATGTTTTCTTACCATTGTCTCATTTCAGTGACCATGCACAAAAACTTTTATGTTGTTAGGCCTAGAATTGTCAGTTCTGTAGTTTGCTAAAGCCCCATTGCCCAACCAGTCATCCCACCAAAAGTAGTGACAGCTCCTAAATGAATTTTCCACTTGATATGAGCCTCCATAAGATGTTTGTTTCTCATCATATACTTCCATACACTGACCTGTTTTCTCTTTTTTACCAACACGATTAGACATTTGACAATATTTTGCTCTTAAGAATTACCTCCACAATGACCTTTTAGTCCTGAAATTCCACCATTGTTTATATTTGAGGGATATGCAAACATCCGAAAGTTCCCTTACCCCTATGTCACCTTCCTTATAAGGATAACTGAGTGTTTCCCATGGAGCCCAATGATATTTCTTTCCTTTCTTTGTCCCAACCCCAAAAGAAATTTGCAGTCAAGCTTTTAATATACTCAATAGTAGTTTTGGGAGGGGAGATGCTAAAAGAATATGAATGGGAATATATTGGAAAACATGTTTCACCAATGTGACCTTACACCCATAGCTTGATTTGAGAGATTTTGAAAGGGATTTCGAGATTTCATTGTGAGGGTAAAGATCTAAACTTTTACTTATGATTTCTCCGCTATTTCATTGTTTTGAAAGTGATTTAATTGTGTTTGGGATTAGAAGGGGGGGCGGTGTACCCGAAATTGAGATTTATATAATTGTTTCGATTTGGAGGCTAATTAATGGCTCATTTTCCCCGTGAGAGTTCCCCAACTTATGGGTGAACCAATTCAAAAGAAATTTCCAAATTTGACATAGGGTTTTGAGGTTGAGTTTTTTATGTGATTTTCTGGCCGAATGGGTGTCTACGAAGTTGTATGTTCACCTAGATTATATATTTGATCAAATTTGAAATATTTAAAGGCGTTGCAAAAGATGAAAGGCGTAAATTGACTTTTTATCAAGATCCAAAGATTTGGTGTAGTGAAAGCTATCTTATCCCACCAAAACAGGTCAACCTAACAACCTTCTACAAGGGTAAGAAAAAGAAATAAGAGAGAAAACAAAGAACTAAGAAGAACATATCGCAAAATCTATTGTATAAACAAAACATTCCCTAAAACCTGGTGTCACGTCTACAAGGTACTAGATAGTAATACATATTCAATGAAAGAATAAGTTTGAATGTCTCTAGTACTAGAATAAAATAAAGCTAAGACATAATATAAGAGTATGTCGAGTGTGCTGGCACAACTAACAACTACCTCACGTATTCCCAAATGTAAGCCTCAGGCACTGATGCAAGAGGATGATTAGGATGAATGGGGTCTGTAGCTTACACAAGTGTAGAAAAGCAAGCTAGTGAGTACCAAAACAACAACATGTACTATGACCATAACCAAAGTGGTGTCGAACACCCTCTACCCCGACACACCATCTGAACCTATAAAATACTAGAACCTGTACAAAAATCAGAATCCATTCCATCCTAGTAATTTTAATAGCAACATAGTGTTGGGTTTTAGGCCTTTTTCCCTTCCTATGTAGATAAATAAAAGTCCAAGGTTTTGGGTCTTCCTTCCTTTCCTTTGTGGATAAATTTAGCCCAAATTTGTTTAGCCCACTTTTGCCCATAAGCCCAATATTATGGTGCATATGTAAGACTTTCTTTTAGGTCTTATTTGAATAGAATAACAAGATTTTGAGAGCAGCCATATAGAGAGAAAAGTGAGAGAGTGCAGATTTTCGCACAAACCCTTGCAACAAATTTCAGATCGTGATTCCTGCTTCCTTTCTTATCTGATTGAGCTGATTTTTGGACAACTTGTTCCTTTCAACTTAATCTTTGATTGGGAACTGAGATAGGGTGATTTGGAGTCCTATAGATCCATATTTTAGCTTGTGAACAGTAGCTGCGATTTGGGTATTTTAGCTCCTTTTGTTTCTCTAGCTTTTGGTGCTATCTTGTAGTTGTGTTGCTCATTGTTTGGCACTTTGTTGGTGACCATTTTGGAGAACACTTTTGTAACTCTTGTTGATTATAGTGGAGCTTTTGCGTTGTGGTTTTTACTCTTCACACCGAAGAGGTTTTCCACGTTAAACTTTGGTGTCTCGTGTGTTGATTTATTTTCTTTCTTGGTTGATTTGTTTGCTGCCCAAACAGTTTTATTTTTGCATTATTTTGTCTTCTCTTGGTTCAAATAGAAGAGGATGTTTTGACTTGGGTTTTCTTCCGCTATCGCCCTATCGTGCACATTTATTTTGTGCTTGCCTTTCCCAACAAAGTGGTATCAGAGCATTGGGTTGTTGTTGATTATCTATTTGAATGATGGAGTCAAATATGAGCAAGATGATTTGTTTGAATGGTAGTAATTATCATACTTAGAAAGGCAAGATGAAAGATCTTCTATTTGTCAAGAAAATGCATCTCCCTGTGTTTGCTTCTAATAAACCCGAATCTATGAATGATGGGGATTGGGAATTTGAGCATTTACATTGTGTCTATATTCAACAATGGGTTGAAGATAATGTTAGAAATCACATTGTGAATGATACACATGCTAGAAGTTTGTGGGACAAGCTTGAAACACTATATGCTTCGAAGACTGGTAACAACAAATTGTTTTTGTTAAAGCAATTGATGAACATCATGTATAAAGAGGGCACTCCTATTTCTGATCATATTAATGGTTTTTAGGGTGTTCTTGATCGGTTGTCCGGAATGGGTGTAAAATTCGATGAAGAAATTCAGGGACTATGGCTTCTTAATACTCTGCCAGACTCTTTTGAAACTCTTCGAGTTTTTTTGACTAATTTTGCTCCCAGTGGTGTTGTGACCATGGAATATGCTAAGAGTGGTGTCTTGAATGAACAGATGAGAAGAAGATCTCAAGGCTCATGTTCTTCTACTTCACACTCCGATATTTTGGTTACTGAAGACAGGGGGAGAAGCAAGTTTAGAGGTCACAATGACAGAGATAAAAGTAGAGGAAAGTCAAAGTCTAGATTCAAGAATGTTACATGTGACTATTGTCACAATAATGGGCATATCAATAAATATTGTTTCAAGTGCAAGAGAGATATGAAACAACAAAAGAAAGAAGGTGACAATGAAAATCGTGTTGTTGTTGTTGCTAACGATGAGCTTCTTGTTTCTTGTGATGAAAATGCCGTAAATCTTATTTACGATGAGTCTAGATAGTTTGTGGATTCTGGTGCTACTTCTCAAGTCATGCCCAAGAAGGAATTATTTTCTTCTTATACTCCAGGTAATTTTGGGATGTTGAAAATGGGAAATAATCATGAGGTTGCGGTTCTTGGTATTGGGACTGTTTGTTTGGAAAGTAATAATTGTTCCAAACTAGTTCTCAATAATGTCAAGCATGCTCTAGATGTCCGCTTGAATTTGATTTTTGTTGGATACCTTGATGATGAGGGTTATGTTAATACCATTGGTGCTGGCCAGTGGAAGCTTACAAGAGGTTCGATGGTGGTAGCCCGTGGTGACAAGTTGTCTAACTTGTACGTTTTTCAGGGCTCCATTCTCAGAGGCTTAGCAAATGTGGTGGAGAATGATACTTCATCATTGTTATGGCATAGAAGATCGAGTCATATGAGCTAGAAGGGGATGGACAATTTGGATAAGAAGAATTT